TGTCCTAAAGCCAATTTGGACCTGTAACTTCCAGAGTAAGTCTCTTTCTATCAGGGGAATTGGACAGTTTGGAAAATACAAAAACTCATGTTGGACTTCTTTTTCCCCTATGATGCACCTCTTAGGCCAAAAAAATGACCTCTTTTGTGGGACCCCAGTGGCTCTAACAGTAGTCACATAATTTTGGATAATGGCCCAATGGGCTGTGTTACTCCTGAGTATTCAGTTCTTCTTTCTACCATAAAGTCCATCAATTGGCTCCCTACTTTTATTATGAGCCTGGGCTCCTGGGGCAATGGTTTTGTCTCCTCCCCCTGGGGTAACACCTGGGGCTCACTGTCATCTGACTCTGTTTCCTCATGAGTTGACCTTAGTCAAAGGAGGAGATTGGGACATAATGAGGGAGGTTTTTTGTCTCCTCTGTCAGCTCTTGTGGCATTGGCTTTCCTCGTTCTCTTTGTCTCTGAGGCTACTAGCAGGGTTGATTTTTCTTTTTCTTTTGGCTTTTGCTCAGCTCAGGCACAAGAGTCTTATCATAAGCCTCTAAACAGGGCTGTAGCCAAGCAGGTTGGGTCTAAACCAAATTTAGCCATGAGTTGATGTAAGGAAATTGGGCTGGGTGCCCTAGCCATCCTCTGTCTCTTGTCATCACCCATGCCCAATTATTTTCCCATCTATCATCCCTTCAGCTGGCCATCCAACATCAAAGGAAGGCCAATCAATTTCACAAAGAGTTCTCAACCTCTGGGGGGACAGCTTTACTTTATAGTCTCCTGTGTAGTCTTTTGAGCAACAAGAATCTTTTAGAAGGAGCAGCTTGGGCTCCACCAAACCAACAAATAAACGTACATATTTCTTTTGATAAATTACTTCCACAAGTTTTCCCTTGGCATACATGAGCTTTGCAGTTTTTTCATTATCTCTTTTTATCAGGACAAAACTTTTATGATACAAAATACTCTCACATCAAAAGTATATCTTATACTTATAGCCTTCTTAATATTTTTCTCCATCTCAATTACTCTAAAACTTCTATAACAAACTTGGCTATGACCACCTGGATTTTAAAGTGTCTTTTTTCTCTTTTTTTCTTTGTTCTCAGATTGTTACTTTTTAAATTTGACTGACTGCCAACAGACCTCTAATCTTGAATCAGTGTTCTTATCTTGAACCAACAGAGATCAAAGAGCAAGTTAACCCTACAATTACAGTTCAAGAATGTGTAATGTACAGAAAAATGCTTAAAGCATACCAATTAAACAAAAACAGTCAAATTGGAAGCTAAGAGAATATTTATCAATTAGCTAAAATTTGTAATTTGATTTCTCCTGTAAAACCTCCTTAGGCCCAGTGAGATGCAGTCACAAGTCCTCGACTTTGGCCATCCAGCCCCCACCCCCCCAGGCTGGAGTCGCTCTGGCTTCCAGGTACCTGCAATCAACACCAAGCTGGTGACACTGAGTAAGAGTTGGCCTTGGAGCTCCTGCAGGCTGGGAGAGAAAGACCCTGGAGCCAGCCCACAATTCTTAGTTTTGTCCCATGGAGGAAGCAGTCTACAGCCACTAGTGTCAGATCTCTAACCTAGCACACAGTCCCTATACTCCAGTCCTGAGCAATCCCAGCATACTGCTTCCATCACCTGCCACAGCCTGGCCTCTGCCCATCACCCTGGATTGGCTTCTTTCTCTGCCCACTTTTACCCTAGCCTCCAGGCCATCCCCCCAGCAGGCCTGGCCTGAGTGCTACCTGCTACAGTATCTCAGGCCAGGGGTAGATGCAGGGGGTGGCCAAAGTACACCGCTTGGCTCTCTGCCTCCACTGACAATGTGCACTTGCCACAGTGTGAACCAGGAGAGGCAGTGGCCCTCACTCTCCCTCGCTCCATGCTGTTGCCCTTTCAGCTTCTCTTCACTCCGCTCATTCACATACACTCATGCATCTCCCCATTCCTAGTATTGTTGTTGTTGTTGTTCCTTTTGTATGGGTACAAGTGGATCATTCAAAGAGCCCCTTTGTGAGCCACTCTTGCTGCAGGCCACTCCCATGGGCTCTGGGCTTTCTCCACTTGGGTGTAAGTGGATGAACCACCCAAAGAACCTATTTGCAAGCCATTTTTATTACAGGCCATTCCTATGGATTCCCAGCCTCTTCCTCTGGGGTACAGGTGGACCACCCAAGAGACTCTTTACGAGCCATTCTCACTGTGGCCACTCCCATGTTCCTGGCTTGTGATTGTTTGCAAGTCACTCTCACTGCAGACCACTCCCACATGCCCAAAACAGGCTTTGTGAGTCACTCTCACTGTGGGCCACTCCCACTATGGGCTACTCCCAAATTTCACTTGGGGTTGTAGGTTTCCTCTAATTTAATACGGGTGAGATTACTTGGTATACCCTGGGAGGTAATCAGTCTCCCCTTCTATCCTAATGGGATGGGTTTTTCCCCCTAGACCTTAAAACCTTACTGACTGTAAAGTGCTGTTCCAGAATCACCTTGTAACCCCTCAGAGGTTCCATTTTTGCTGACTCTGAGCTGAGGACTCTGAGCTGTGGGAGGGCCAATTCCCTCTCTGATCTTGTCTCACCTGGCAGTACCAAGGGTCTCAGGTTTCCCTCACCATGGAGCCCCTGTGCCTGCAGGCAAAGGAGACAGCAAACATGCCCAGTCCCTTCATGGACACCAGAAAATGTTGCAGGATTTTAAGAGACAGGAGAGACCAATGGGTGATACAGGAAGATTTATTCTAGGTTTACACTGACTTGGTGGACTAGTGTCCAAAGCCTGAGCCCAGAACAAAGGAAAGTTTTTTTCTTGTGGCTGGGGGGTCTTTCTAGTGGTGTGAGATGGGGGATGGGGGGAGTGAGGTTACAGAAGCAAAACAAAACAATTAAAAGCAATTAATTAGACAGTGATAGCCTTGTAACTTAGCCTTGAAAGGAGACAGAGCCTTGTGAATCTTGTTAGAAAAGAGTGTCATAAACTTTTTACAGGTTGTAGTTGCCAATGTCATCTGTACCAAAATGAGGAGTTACAGCTATGGGAGGGGAAGTATGTTCAAGGAGCCAACTATTGCTGCTACAAAGCTGGGTTCTCTCTCTAGGTGTACTACTGGCCTACTGGAGATGGGGCAAGGGAACTATATCTCAGCCCTCCTCCTCTCATGGTGCGCAGTTTCTCTCTCCCTGGATTTCAAACTTGTTTCAGGTAGTGTGGCTGGCTGGGGCCAGGAGAGGCTGTCTCCAGCCCCCATAAGGGAAGAGTCTCCTGTAGAGATGACTCCTGGCTCAGAACACCATGTCCACGGCCTGGCACAGAGTGCCAGGTGTCTCTCCATGTGTTAGCTTACTATCATTACAACAGATAATTAACTCATAAAGGGAACATTTAGCGAGGCATGGTGGCACACACATGAAATCCCAGCACTCAGGAGGCTGAGGCAGGAGGATCACTGTGAGTTCACAGCTATGTAGTTCCTGGGCTACATAGTGAGTTTCAGATCAGTCTCAACCACATAGTGAAACCCTGTCTCAAAACACAAACAAACAAACAAACAAACAAACAAAGATAAGTATATTTTGACTCACAATTTTAGAGGTTTCTGTCCATGGTAGCTTGGCCCTGTTGCTTTGGGGACTGGGACAGGGCAGCACATCATAGTGGGAGCCTGTGGTGGGGCAAATCAGTTACCTTACAGACAGGCCATGAAAGAAAAGGAAAGGACTGGACTTCCACAATCCCCTGCAAGTAAGGGTACAGCCTGCCATGAGCTGAGACCTCCCTCTAGACCCCACTGGAGACCAAGCCTAGAAGACATGGGCCTTTGTGTGGGACATTTCAGATCCAAACTAGAACACTATGAAAGATGTGAGTTCCAAAGTTCTCCCACAGTTTGATGTGGCAAAAGTACAACTTTCCTCCTGCTCCTAGTGTATTACTTTTTCACGATAAATGATAGTTCTAGAAGCATGTTCTGAAAGAGATAGGAAACAGAAAACAAAATACACAACAAAGTCTTAGGAAAAAAATCAACCCTCCCCACCCACTGGGACTCTGTCACAAATACTCTGCATCACAAATCCAAACAATACCTGCTACACAAGGTGACTTTTGCTGTTTCCTCAGAGATGTTATGGGCAAGGTCCTATTGCCTAATAGCATTACTGTGAAAGATCTGAGTCCTGTCTGCCATCTCCTGCTCCTTCTTCTCCTCTTGTCATTTTTCCCAAAAGCTAAACCTAAAGCTAAATGGCTTTTTCCTAACCTCCAGCTTAGTCTCCTTTACAATTAGCCAGAGTTTCACCTTTCAATAATGTGGAAGGAGTAAACTAATCCAAATATAGAATATTCCATTTTACAATAAAATTTTTATCCCATTCCCCAGAATATTCCATTTTTAAATAATCTATTCCTCATTGTAAACATATGCTACACTTAAGCTGCCTCCTGAGGGAAAGCAAGAAGCAGCAATGGGATATAGGAGAAGAAGCTTAAATTGAAACAGTTCATACTTCATCCAATAAATATTAATTTATTGCCTGCTAAACTATGTCCCAAGAACTATGCTCCACAACCTAATTGTGTGACTTTGGACAAGTAACTTGTTATCCCTAAAATGGAAATTTCACAGGGTTGCATTAATCCCATAGCAGTGTCCAGTCCTGACCAGGCCCTCAATAAACTGAATGTTCTTTGTCATCTTTACATACTTTGATAATTGGTAAATTGGGCCAAACTTCTTGGCCAAAATGTTCAATAAAATGTAGTAACTCACTTGCCAAATAGCCACATAACAACACCCTTGTTAATAATGTTGAGCATAAAAATACCTTCCCAAATGAAAAAAAAAAAGCCCTACAAGTTGTCAGGTGTGGTGGCACATGCCTATAATCCCAGCATTTGGGTGTCTGAGGCAGGAGGATCACCATGAGTTCACGAACAGCCTGAACTACATAGCCAGACCCTTTCTCAACAACAGCAATAAGAACAGCAACAGAATCTAATCATCAGGTGGGAAAATCCTTAACCACTCCTTTTGATGATGATTGGAGTTTGCATGATATGTGATTAGCATCTTTGTGTTATCAGGACTCCCAACACCCTAATTACTCAGACTTCTGAATTTGGCTGTCCTATCCCAGAGGATAAACTGATGGAGTAAGAATAGGAAACACTGTCTCAATTTAATACTTTCTCTGTCTCTCTCTCTCTCTCTCTCTCTCTCTCTTTGTGTCTGTCTCTCTCTCTCTCTCCCTCCTTCCCCCTCTCTCCCCTACCTCCTCATCTCTGCCAATACAGAGGCTTCGCTCACATGAAAAGAGGTACAAGAAAAGAAAAATGATGTGATTTTTTTCTGACTTCACAAATGCAGATAAGAAGAGGTATTAACTGTTCGAGTTACTTTTAAAAATAATTGTTAACCTCAACTACACATTGCAATCATCACAGAAGTCTTAAGAATGTTAATACCTGTATCCCACCCACAAGGATTCTGTTCTGATTGGATGGATCCTGGGCGTGAAGGTTTTTAAAAATCTCAGATGATTTTTTGTTTGGTTTTGTTTTGATTCTTGGATCAAACTCGGGGCTTCACATGTGCTAGAGAAATGTTTTGCCATTGCTACACTCCCAGCCCAGATGACTTTAAGGTGTAATCAGGATTGAAAATCCTACACTAACTTGCCAAAGTTTCAAGCACTCATACATTGATCCTAAACATAGTCTCTTGGATAGATGACTGCCACTGACCGCCCCCCACAAAAAAAGCGTGTTAGTTTGAAAAAAGTATTTTAGTGAAAACCCAAATAGGCTGATTCCTCTTTTTTTTTTTTTTTAATGTAGTTCAGGCTGGTATTGAACTCACTATGTTGTCCAAAGTGGCCTTGATCTCATCTAGATCCTCCTACCTCAGCTTCCCCAGTGCTGGAATTACAGGCATGTGCCACACCACCCAGCTCTAAATAAACTGATTCTTACATAAGGTAAGGCTTTAATTCAGTATCAATGGTATCTGTAAACATATAGGATATATGTAGCTGGGTTAGAGGGGTTCAATCATTATTAATGCAAAGGATTACACAAGAAGAAACTAGTGTCTGAGCTCAACCGTGTGAGCTCAGTTAAGAACCTCTGCCACAAAGATTTGGGGGAGTTTTCTTTTTAATGGAAAACTACTTTTGAGTATCAAGATAACAAGGGCATGATATCAAACTGATTGCCTTTGGGATCTACTTGAGGGGTTGGTGAAGCACCCTTCTCGTTGTGTTTCGGTGGGTCGTAGAGGTGTGGCCCCAGGGTCTAGATCTGGTCTCTTACCCCTTCTTCTCTGCCCTTGTTCCCCTGCTCTGCTTCCTGGCCACCAAGAACTAAGAACTTTGCTCCCCCATGCCCTTCCACTATTACATTCCTGCATTGGAACCTGCCAACCATGTACTGAATCCTCCGAACCTGGGAGCAAAAGTAAACCTCTTCTCCTTTAAGTTGTAGGTAGCAGGTATTGTCTCCCACCAACAGGAAAACTAACTAGCACAGCTGACTATTAAGAGGAGATGGCAAAACAAGTGTCATCTTTTGTCCCAGAATTCAGAAGAAGCCCCAGTAGGTATACATTATGATTTACAATGGCCAAGAAATGTTAATATTGCAATGACAATTCAGAGAACAAAATTAAAATCAATGTGGTAGTTTTTAGTGTTTATGAAATATATTACTAAATATTTGTATATGACCTTTTTTTTTTTTTGGTACCGGATATCGAACTCAGGTCCTTGCACTTGCAAGGGGGGCAGTGGAACCACTGAGCTAAATCCCCAGCCCTGTGTATGACTTTTAAATTGCAGAGGTATAACAATCAATACTAGATACCTGCCTACCTTTGCAGTACAAGGGTAATTCAAGGTTATAAATGGTCCCACATCTGATCCATTTTCCACATTGTGACAGAAAGCACTTTCTAAAATATAATTGTAATCCAGTCTCTCTTTGACTTCAGATCTTTGTTAGTTCTGCATTACCTCCCTACAAGACCTCCATGCCCACTTCTCTAGCCTGCCATCTCCCCACAGCCTTCCTGTTTCTCTTTGTTCTAACTACCCACAGTTCCTCAGACTGTCCTGCTGTGGAGCCTTTGTGCTGTTTTTTGTTTTTTGGTTTTTTTTCAATTAGGATTGCATTTAGCTCTCCTAGTTCTAGAGAAATGTACCACATCTTTCAAGATTGAGTTCAAAGTAATTTCAACCTTTATGGTTTCTGTGACCCGACCCATATATACTTCTTTAACCCACCCACTCCCAAAAACGTGGTACCTTATACTTGGTTGTACCCATATATACATCTCTCTAACGTTCCCATTTATAATCTGAGCCCTTTACAGTATTTTATTCATTTATACACTCGATGTTTATGAGTGACTGGTATAAAGTAATTTATTTACATGTTTGATTTATTATTTAAATTAAATGGAATTATTAAATGAATTAATTTATCTTTTCATAAATAATTTCTTTCTACATCTAATATATACATATGTATATATTAGATGTAGAAAGAAATTATTTATGAAATAATAATATATGTATATATTTCAGGAAGGAAGAAAGGCAAAGCAGTAGCCAGAGTGGGTTAGCTTTTGTGATAATTCTGTGATCAGTGTGGCTGTCTGTCTTTACTTACTATCGATGTTCTGTGTCTAGTGGATGAGGGCAGAGAGGAGGAGCTGCTTTTCCGGTGTGGAAGATCCAAGCAGGAGCTATTCAGAGAACTGGAGCTTCTTGAATCTCTGTGCAACCGTCCCTTCTCAAACATCCATCTGGAAAGAAAGCTGGCCTTACAACTGCCTGGGTCAGATCTTTGTACAGACCCCACTCTCTCTTACACTGCCATCACTCCCTGTACAGTGACAGTGCAGATCTGTGACAGGTTCACCCAAGGGTGCCAAGTCATGGGATTGCTCCCAGGTTCCTAATGTGTAGGAGGAACAATATCTGAAAGCCATCACCGCACCTAGGCAAGACTGGGACGTTGTGTTCCCTGGGCCGAGGAGGAATTGTTTGGTTGCTGTCCCGGGTGCTGAATCCTGGAACTGTCATCAGGGCTGCGGACATAGAGCTGTCCGTCGTGCTGATCCTTCTCAGCCCAGGCTTTTTGGCTACAGGAAAAAAATCGACCGCAAGTTGCCTGGGCTGTGGGGTATGCCAAATGGTTTTAGACTTTGGCACATTGGCTTGGGTGACCTGCTGTTGGTTGTTGGGTTGAAGTAAAGAAGTCTTTTCAGTAGTGAAGAGCAAATCATACACTGCTGGGGCCCTGAATATTTTTTCGAATAGAATGGAAGACTTCTTCCATTCTCAATGTCCCCACTGCTGGAGTAATCATAAAGTGCCCTCATGATTTTCCTGGAGTCCAGGTGAAATATTTCCAGTATATTCAGTAGCAAGGAGATGGTTGCAATGCTGTGCATAAAGAGCATGAAAATGGTTTTCTCTGTGGGCCTAGATACAAAACAATCCCCTTCACTGGGGCAAGGAGGTTGGGTGCATTTGTAAAGGGGTTGCATTTGAAATCCATAGGAATATATTGGCCTATCATAAACTCTACCTCTAGCAGAGATCTGGTTAAAATATGTAAGACATAAGTACGTAGCAGACATCCTTTCAAAGGGACTTTATGGATGCCCTTCTGTTCCTCCAACCTCTTCAATTCCGTCTATCCTTTGTTGCTCCACCAGGTAAACTTCTGGATTCTCCATTTGGGTTCTAAGGCATAACTATTTCCTATGACTTTCTTTTTCAAAGTCTCTGAGTCTATAAGGTGCATGACCCATATACACCAGAGAAGGAGAAGATACAAAGATGATCTGTAAAACCCTATTAAAGAGATAGAGAAAGCATCATCATAACAGATACTGTTGCAACCTGGTTTCTGGGTGTTGCAGGCAAATGCTGACTGTTCATCCCAGACATCTTCAGCAGCCACACCAAGTACCAGCATTCAGAAGATGAAGAGGATTGTCAGCCAGATTTTCCCTACTATGGTTGAGTAGGAGTGAACTTCCTCTAGGATGCCACCCAGTAAGTTCCAATTCCCCATGATTAGGAATTAATGTCTGAAATATACGGAAAGTACTGAGGTCAATACACCCATGAATGTAATGTACAAGAATAAGGAAACATGCTTATAAATATAGCAGTTTCTTTTATCAGGAAAATTACCAAGGATTTTCCAGTCCCAATATTTCTGATCCATGCTTGATGAAATAGGATGTGTCCACAAAATATCAGTTTTTGAGAAAAACACTAAAAATGTACCACCACAATCTGACTCAGTTTACTTCTTACCCTCTTCTAGTCTCTGACACAGTGCCTGTCATTCCACTATACTGGTTCACTAACATGGTCTTCATATTCTCACAGTGCATTCTCATTCCAGTTTTGTCCATTTTTTTACTTATATGAAATACAGCATTAAACATACATCTAACGTGATTTTAAATAGATCTCAACTCCTCACTAAATTTTCCCAAACCATCACAAGTTAGTTATTTTCCCTTTCCTAAGTTCTTACAACCACTTATTTGGCACTGTGCTTGGATGAGTTTTGTAATGTTTATGTTACCCTTCCAGAAAGCAATTTTTAATAGCATCTTCATCTTTGTAGACAGAAGATATCAATGTATAATAGTTGATGGAGATGTCTTTTCTGTTTAAAATTTGGATCCTTGACTCTATCAATGAAATAACTATCAATAGGAGAAGCAAAGTAGATCTTCATATTATTTATGGCTTTTACTGTAAGATAAAGTATAAGTAAATAAAACCAGCCAAGAAAGTCCTCAGGAATTGGCTTGGATCAGTATAGTAGTAAAGATTAAGCAGACACAGAAACAGTACAGCAATAACACATGATTCCATCCACTAAGTCACATCTGGAGCATCATATCTTCATGGAAATATTTGCTAACTCAGAAAGAAAGTGAATGTAAACTGCTTCTCTAGCAATCTTGGGATCTAGCAAAAGCTCAACACATAGCTGATATGAAAAGTTTACTTCATTTACCCTAGAAAAGTTTTTCAAGATTTGATGAGGTTAAGATATTTTCTGGGAAAAGATTTTTAAGAAGTGGAAGACTTCCAGAAATGAAAGTTATAGAGGAAAAATATGAAGGTATAAGTTAAAACAGATAATGATACAATTTTTCTCCTTCCACAATTCATCCATTCAATGACATTTACTAACCAGATGTGGTGGTGCGTACCTATAATCTTAGCTACTCGGGAGACTGAGGCACGAGGGTTGCAAGTTCAAGGTCAGCCTGGGCAACTTAGTTAGATTCCATTACAAAATAAAAATTTTAAAGGTTGGAAATGTAGCCCAGAGGTAGAGCACTTTCTTAGCATGAGTAAAGCCCTGGAGTCAGTCCTAACTGCATTAATAATAAAAATGACAATAATAATAATAATTAAAATCTTACTATCACTGGACATTGTGCCAGAATTCAACCACAAACATGAAATGACTAGTCCCAGCCTTCAGAGTTCCTGATCACCAAAATGACCACTAACCCAAAAAGTCAACCAAGACTGTAAAGAAAAAAAATGAATATCATCCAGAAAAAAATATGAGGAAAAAAAATGGGAATTTTAGATTCTTCAATAATTATTTCCAAACAAAATAAATTCCAAATGAGTTTATTAAATATTTGATTTTTCACCAATACAGTCAAGGAGCCAAATTTTAAATGTAAATTTTACATATAAAACAAATATAATTAGATTACATATTTTAAAAGCAAACTATTAAATGTAAAAAAATGTAAGCCAGAGGGCTGGGGATTTAGCTCAGTGGTTCTGCTGCCTGCCTTGCAAGTGCAAGGACCCAAGTTCGATCCCCAGTACCAAAATAAATAAATAAATAAATGCTGTTAAAAAAATGTAAGCCCGAAAAGTATTAAAATAAATTATATAAAATGTTTTATAATCTTTTCAAGAATATCAATGCCAGTAATTATTATTTGAAAAAATACAGATTTCACCCAACAAAACTGAAGGGCAAAAATGGAGATCCCCATAAGGCACTGAGGTTTAGAGAACAACAAAAATAAAAAGTAGATTTAAAAGTTTTGGACTCCATACCTTGTTAACTGAAGCAATAATTTCCTAAACTCTATTCCGTCAAATAAAGAGTCAAAGTCTTTTCCCACAAATATTCTGGCCTCTAAAAATTTCTGGTCATTACTTATTATACTAAAAAGATTCCTTTATCACTTAAAACTCCCTGCTGTACAAGAACAAACTCAATATAGATAGCTTCTCTATTTGGAAATTCTAAACCATGTAATGCTTGTCTTTTGACAATATCATTTTTAAATATGGAGATTATTTTAAGTAGCAAATAAGCTAGGCCTATATGAAAAACAGAAACACAATCTACATGTTAATATGAAAGGCCAAGTTCCTTTAGTCTGGTAAGCCTAAATTTTCTAGAAAAAAAAAGCTTCTTTTTACCTTTAAATGACTGCAGATTTTAGAAATGTTCTCAATTTTCTTTCATTAATAAGTACTAATTTAATATCTCTTATGTAAGAATCTGGTGATCTCTTCCTGCATTTAATTTCAGATCTTGGCTTTCTATGCCAGTAGGATTTCCTATATATTTCTCAAAAGCCAGACAGTCAACATATTTACCACTTACTGTACAGATGGATGACAAAAATCACAATTAGGCTCACAGAACCATAAAGTAATACCATGTGTGTATAGTAAGTGGGACAAACACTGCCAGTTACAGATATAAAGGCTCTGGTCAGGTGATTGTGGGGCACTAATCCAGAATGAGCATGGTAATGCTGATCAATGTAGTCTAACCCAGTTCTCCAAGGTTCAAAATGCCCTTTGGTCTTTCACAATTTTCATGTACTGATTTTCTAGTTGACACCAACCTGGGACCCCTCCTAATGAATCATATTTGGAAATTAAAAGCGAAACACAGAGGAATTCCTTTTTTCATTTGTGAATAATGACTGTGATTTTAGTTTGGGTGCATTTCTTTCAGTTCATCGAATGCTGTGGGAGTTTGTACAGATCAATGGCATCATGTCCAATTTCATAAACAGCTGCCTGGGGTGAGTCTAGATTCATTAAATGTGAACAGATAACAGGCAGTGACAATGAAACCCAAAATGTCTTTGCAAATTACACCATACCAAAAGAAGAAACATTTAAAAAAATACATATTCTTAGACCATGGGTAGGGTGTAGTATGCCTATTTTTAGATTATGTATTTTAGCAAAACTCTATTAGACCAAAACACACAACTTCTCCTAAAAATTTGTCTTTTTCAATAGGGAATATGAAAGCCAATAGTACCTCTAAAGCCTAGGTCAGATTTTTGTGGAGAAAATTTGAATTCTGGAGAGATAAAATGACTTACTCATTTCACCGATAGAGCATAGTTTTCCTAACTCTGTAGCATCTGTCACTACTCACCTTACAAGTCTGATCTTATTACCATTCTAGAGGGGCTGATAGGAAGGGCAAGGGCATCACTAGAACACAATTATGGTTTCAAATCTCAGTTCGTAGGCACATTTGTAGATTTGCATAAAATGACTAAATGTTCATAAGTTAGTGATCACCCGCCTATTCTATTTTAGGACACTTAATTTTTATTATTTATTTAATTAATTATTTGGGGCTTTTGGGGACAGAGTCTCAATATGTAGTTCAGGCTGGACTTGAACTCACTGTGTAGCCCAGCCTGGCCTCAAACTTAAGAGTGATCCTCCTGCCTCAGCCCCCTAAGTGCTAGGATTACAAGGTATGAGCCACTATGCCTGGCTCTAGGACACTCAATTTTACTTTTTCTGTCCTTTTATTTTATTTTTAATTAATTTATTGGTACATTTTATATACATAATGATCACATTCATTATAGGGAATTTGTACCTGTACATAACATAATATATCTTGATTCTTTTTTTCTCCATTCCCCTCCCCTCCCTTCAGCCTTTCTTCCTCTCCTTATTTACAAAATTTTACTGTGAGATGTGAAACTTCATTGGTTTTTTAATCTGTCACAGATAAATCAATATGATAAATGTATTCTTAAAGACTTATAAAGTGAGTTAATACCCTAAAATAGAGGCACCCTCATACACTCACAACAATAACTGAAATAACATTGTGGAAAGGTAAGATTGGCACTGTGTTACTGATGAAGAAGGAGGAGAAAAGCAGGAATGAGAACACTAAAGTTTAAAAGCCCTTGACATGGCAAACAAGTTGGTTTTTTAAATTTTTTTCCAAGTTTCCTACTCTCACTCTCACTAAAGTTATGCTGAATCTATGCAGTTGCCAGCTGACCCAACACAGAGACAAACAGAAAGGAACAGAAAAGTTAGAGAAAGCAGACATCTCAGAATAATGACAAAAGATGAAGATGCACATAGGGCGAACTCTCTGCCAGCTCTACTGCCTGTGTGCTAGTCCGTGCTCCCCATAACTGCAGTTGCAGGTATAGCTCAGTGATAGAGAAGATGCTTAGAGTGTGTGAGGCCCTGAGTTTCACAATCAGCACCAAAAAAAGAAAGACTACCAATATTTACCATGTCACTTTATTCACACCCAGTGAGAAAACTCTCTGTAGTAGGAGGGGTTGTAGGTTTTTTTGTGCACTTGTAAAACACATGGGAATGTGAAAGCTTACCGAACGAAGAGAAAGTACACATAGCAAAGGATGGCAACAGCAGAAGAGATAATTGCCTTCTGAAAGCTCACTTGTGCCAGGTCTCTCACCAGCTAATGTGATCCAGAGGACTTTACAATGACAAAATGAAGGATTCCAAAGAGAAATTGAAGGAATTAGGTTTACCAACAGATTCCTAGCAGGAAATTTGGAATTCTTCAGATATAAGGTGTCACCATGCCAAAAACAATGGCCATAGCAGTGATAGGAAAATAGAACTGCAAAAATAAAGACAAAGACCAAGGATTTTCCATAAATTTTAGCAGTAGACTCTTAATTCAAGCAATAGACTTCCAATTATAAGGCAGATAAAAAGAATTATTCTGGCTGAAGTCTACAGCAGAAG